TCCCTGCTCCTCTGATGCTGCCTGGCCTGCTGTGTTCCCCCAGCTCCACACTGTGTTATCTCTGACTCCAGCATCTGCAGTTTTTACTATCTCATAATGAAAAAGATCTCCTTTTGTGCTCTAATTAACTAAAATGAATACATATGATTAATTCAATTCTTTTAACTACCAGACTTCTTTATGTCAATCCTAAAGTTATCACATTCTAATACAACTATAGGACCTGCTTCCTGCTTGCCTTGCCCCACACTCTCTGTGGAATGCTGATCCTCAAGTTATGAAACCAACTATCTCTCTAATAGAGAGGAATGCCTGTGGTCTTTTGTGGGCAATGGCTAAAGCTTCTGCCAATGATAATTAAGCAGAACTGTAGACTATGTGCTTAACTCATCAAATCAAACATTTTACATTGCATGTGCTTGGAACTTGGCACTACGCTCTCTTTAACACAACAGACAAATATTAAACAAAGGTAGGTTCAAAGTCTGGTTCACAGTCAGTATAGTGCAAATGCACTGAAGTGAAAATCATGAGGGATCAAGAGGGTGTAAATAGAAAATTTTCATATCAGCAAGAAAGGACATATGAAAGGAAGGTGGAGGCATATTCAACCATGGTTTCCAAAATAAGCGTACAAACAGAAACATTGTAGGGCTGTGGGCAAAGGAAGTGGGAGGACCGTTCCTGCTTGACAGGTTGAGTAGCTGCTTTCTGTGCTGTCATTGGTCAATGATTCTACAAAAGTGTCAGTGGAGCGTTTGCCAATGTCAACACTGAGTCTCGACAATTGTGTATGTAATGCAATGAATTATTTCTTTAGGTTCACTCATTTCATCGTCATGGTGAGGAACTGGACAACTCGACGAATGCACAGTGAAGATCAGAGGCCAGATTCTTTCTTGGAACGCTTTCGAGGACCGGAGATAAAGGACGTGTCAAGTCGGGACAGCAACAGCCAATCAGCTATAGGCAGTCTGGAGCATCAAGCAAAGAACAAAAGGTAAGTTCTGTTCTCCACACTGGCAGCTGCTTGAATATACTTTCATATCAATCTATTCATACCTCTGAAGCAGGTGAGACTTGAACTCAGGTCTCCTAGATCGGAGGTAGGGATGGCACCACTGTGCCACAAGAGAACTTTAAAGCAGCTTGTTTCAAGGATTGTTTGAAGTGAGCCCAAAGGTTCTGACGGGTTTAGCATGGTTTCCAAAGCAAAACCCAAATCGAATAAAACGTTTGAAAGCCCAATAGAGTTGGTCGATGTATTTCAGATTGGTGCCAAGGAACAAAAGCTCAATTCCATGGATAATCCTTGTGCTTGTATGGGTTAGGAATGTATTTGAGTATAACCTGGCATTTGATTTGACCCATTCCACATCCTGCAAGCAATACTACAGTACTTCTCACCTTTCCAGCATCTTCTGTTCGCATTTCTATTGGATTCTTCGTATGCTGTTGCATCATTCCTCATTTTGTTATTTACTACAGACAATTACTGCATAAGTTTGTCAGAAGTTATCTATAAGAATTAAAAATCTAAATAAAATTGTTGGCATGAACAATGCGAATGAATGATTTCTCCCACAGAGCTGGTTAGCTAAAAGGATATACTGGAACTGTGACAGATGTCTCATTCTACCCCTCTAGAATAGCAAACATTGAACTCAAGGCCTAAAGCTTTTGTCAATATGCTGCATTTTGGAAAGAGACATGTCACATTTACAAGAGTTTTTAGATCCGAAACATTAACTCTGTTTCACTCTCTACAGATGCTGCTAGACCTGCTGAATTTTTCCAGCATTCTTGTTTCTCTGTCACTTATACATGTTCACATTTGCACACTGATCTTACCAACACTAATTTCACAATTGAACGTTAACATATGAGAAAGGATTAGGAGTAGGCCACGCAGCCCCTTGATCCTGCTCTTCCACTCTAAATCATGACTGATCAACTAACTCAACACCATGTTTCCACACTATCCCCATATCCTTGAGGTCAGTACTACCTAGAAATCAATTTATGTCATGAACATACCCAATGATTGAGCTCCCACAGTCCTCTGGAGTAGAAAATTCCAAAATTCACAACCAATGAATGAAGAAATTCCTCTTCATCCCAGTCTTAAATGTCTTGTTCCTTATTCTGAGACCTTGTCCACTAGTTTTAGATTACCCCCCCACCCCACAGGAAGGTGAAGCATCCATTCTGCTTTCACCCTGTCTAGCCCTTTAAGGATTTTGTAAGTTAGAATGAAATCCCCTCTCATTCATCGAAATTCTACAGAATACTGTCTCTTCAATATCTCCTTACAGGACGTTCGGCCACTCCAGGAATTATTCTGATGATCATCCACTGCGTTAGGGCTATCTTAAGTAAGGACAGCAAAACTGCTTACAGTATTACCAAATGTGGTGTCACCAAGGTTACATAGAACATCTTTACTCCTGTACTCAAATCCCTTGCCAATGAAGGCCCACATACCATTTGCTTTCCTAATGACCTGCTGCACTCGCATGTTTGCTTTCAGTGACTTGACAAGAAAGACACCCTATGGACTTGAACATCTCCCACATTTTCATAATTTAAGAAATATCTGCATCTTCATTCCTCCTATCAAACAGCATAGCCTCACAAGTATCCAAATTATTATATATGTCATCTGCTATGTTCCTCTCACTCATTCAGCCTGTCCAAATCCCCTTGAACCCTCTCTGCATCATCCTCACACAACACATGCTCCCATCTAATTTCATCTCATCATAGTGTACATTAACTGAGAACTGTGAAACCAAATTATGTTAATAATTCAATGCTGTTACTAATAGGCACACCAATAAACAAGGCTGACTGCTCCTAGCTACTCTGTAGTTATCATGCATGTTAGTGGTGGTGATTTTTCCAAATGTTCGCGCATAATATGGAGATGCACCAGTTTGAAATTCTGAAGCCTGCTCCCTGTAGTTTTCCAACCTTTCACAACATTGAAAGGTTAAAAAGTTGAAGACACAGATTAACGTTAGAAGTTAATAAAGGAACTCCTTTAGACTAAGATTATTTGATAAATGGACTGAGTTACCAAGGAGGATTACCAAAGCAAATACAATTGGAAAGGAAACCTGATTGTTCCTGGAGATGGAAAGTAAGATAATCTGTGATGGCAGAAGTTGGATTTGAAATTTTACCAAAAAGAGATATAATTGTTTGGTCAAATGGCCATTTTATTGGATTACTGATGCTCATCAATTTATGGCAACTGATAAATTCACACTTACATTTTGAGGAAATTGTGTAAAATATAGGAATCAAGCCTGAAATCTTCAGTACCGCCTGTGGCACAACAGCAAGAGAACTGGAAGTACCAGCTGCAAACTCTGAATTGTCATGATTTAACTGGAAATTTAAAGTGGTTGCATTTTTATCACATTTGAGAGTATAAAAATGGTGCAGCTATGGGCTCCTGGCAAAATTCATCACCAACAATTGCAACAACAAAGAAGATGAGCGAGTAATCTTCTGCTTCACCACATTAATCCTCGTAGAACCTGTTTATTCCCAGTACGGTTGTTAATCAAACCTCAGTAGTCACTAATTAAAGTTCATTCCCTATCCTTGCTGATCTGCCAAGTCGCTGTGGTCTTAGAGCAGAAATACTCTAGGATCAGAAATTCTATTAGACAATGCAAGTGAAACCATTCCTGTTATTTTTCTGTGTTCTGAATTTGGATTAAGTGGATATACATTGAAGGTTAAACACATTGTTGTGGAAACCAGACCCAGTGCACCCTTTTATAATTCTGTTTTGTTTGAGCATAATGGAGTGCTGTACATGTAGTGAAAACTGGTATTATTTCAGAAGCAAATAAAAGAATAAATATTTGAGTAAAAGAGGCCAAATGTTTTTGGTATCCCTTTTGGGAAGAAGAGTTCCCAGTCTCTTGTCTCCCTTCGAAAGACCATGAGCATCCCCTGCTGCTCAGACTTGGCTATGCTGAAGCAAAATATGAGCTTTGAACAGGGACTAGATCATAATTCACAATCCAAGGAGAAGAAAACGTCACTAAATCCTCTTAACCAGCTTAAAGCTCTTATCAGATTGATGAACACTATGCCCTGTTAAGTATATAGCATTATATCAGGAACTCCAGTATGAAATTTGTGCTAATTAGATGTTACCAGACAAATCTTTCCCCCTAACTCCACATTTTAGTAACATATGATGTTACAACCAAGGCTGGAGGAGTGCACTAATACTCCAGCCCCATTACTGCACTGGTCACAACATAAAATAAAAGTATTTTTTCTTGATGACTAGTTAAATATTTAATGTATATAAAGATTTTAAACACATGCTCTACTGCATCTGTTGCTCCCGATGTGGTTTCCTCTACATCGGAGAGGCGAGACTCGGTGACAGATTCGTGGAGCATCTGTGTTCTCTAATCTCCAGTGAACGCCACCTTCCAGTTGCCAGCCATTTTAACTCCCCCTCCCACTCCCTTGGCTACATGTCCATCCCGGGCCTCCTCCAATGTCACATAGAGACCACACAAAAATTGGAGGAACAACACCTTATATTCCACCTCAGGAGCTTACGGCCCAATGGCTTCAACGTAGAATTCACAAGCTTCAAAATCTCCCCACCACCCCCCAACGGCCTCATCCCATGTCCAGTCCTCCCTCTCATCTCTACCTCCTTGACCTGACACAACCTGTCCATCTTTCTTCTCACCTATCTACCCCACCCTTTCCATTGACCAATCTCCATAACCCCTTACCTGCATCCACCTATCACCAGCCCACCTGCCTTCACCCAGCCCCAACCCCCCCATTTATTTCTGAGCTCCCTTCCCCCTCCCCAGTCCTGATGGAAGGGTCCCAACCCAAAACATCGAATTTCCTGTTCCTCTGACACTGCCTGACCTGCTGTGTTCCTCCATCAGGTTTCTGAATAACACAATTGTTGGCTTACTATCAAAAAAAAATATTCAATACGGACGCAATAATTGGTTAATGTACACAGTCAGTAACAAAGAAGTGTAAATATCCATCCCTTCAAATATCCCCAAAATACTTGCAAGCATTCTTTGGGAAAAATGAAACGATTTCTCTGCAGACTTTGGCTTTCTAAACAAAAACACACTTTAACCAATGGGTTATTCTTAAAGGCACAAGGATAAAGCATGATGTTGCTTTAGAATCTGTTGCTCTGATATTCTGGCATGTGTGGTCAAGTCACTAACTGTGTTTGGTTTGAAGGTTTCTCTGAACTCTGAGGAGTTCCAGACGTGCCTTGTCCAGGAGGTACAATGTTGAGAAGAAGAAATAAGTTGCACCCTGAACTCAATAAGAGTTTTCTTTCAGAAAAGAGAGAGACTGTAGGAGCAGAAGTGGGCCATTCAGTCCATGGAATCTGCTCCCCCATTCAATGAGATCATGCTAATCTGATACTCCTTACTTCCACTTTCTGACAGCAAAGAAGGTTCCCTCAGAGTACAATGGACCTTGATCAGAGGAGCTGATGGGCCTAGGAGTGGCAGATGGAATTTAATTTAGATAAATGTGACGTGCTACATTTTGGTAGGGCAAATCAGGGCAGGACTTAAACACTTAATGTTGAGGTCCTGGGGAGTGTTGCCAAATAAAGGAACCTTGGAGTGCAGATTCATAATTCATTGAAAGCGGAGTCGCAAGTAGACAAGACAGTGAAGTAGGCGTTTGGTATGCTTGCCTTTATTGGTCAGTACATTGAGTATAGGAGTTGGGAGATCATGTTGCAGCTCTACAGGACATTGGTTAGGCCACTTTTGGAACACTGCATTCAATTAAGGTCTCCTTGCTATAGGAAAGATATTGTTAAACTTGAAAGGGTTCTGAAAAGATTACAAGGATGTTGTCAGGGTTGGAGGGTTTGAGCTATAGGGAGAGGCTGAATAGGCTGGGGTTATTTTCTCCGGCGTGTCGGAGGCTGAAGGGTGATCTTATAGAGGTTTATAAAATCATGAGGGGCATGGATAGGTTATAGTAAAGGTCTTTTCCCCAGGGTAGGGGAGTCCAACACTGGAGGGCATAGGTTTAAGGTGAGAGGGGAAAGACTTCAAAGGGGCAACGTTTTCACGCAGGGAGTGGTGTGTGTATGGAATTAACTGCCAGAGGAAGCGGTGGAGGCTGGTACAAAGACAACATTTAAGAGACATCTGGATGAGTATATGAATAGGAAGGGCTTGGAGTGATATGGGCCAAATGCTGGCAAATGGGGTTAGATTAATTTAGGATATGTAGTTGGCATGGACAAGTTGGACTGAAGGGTCTGTTTCCGTGCTGCACATCTCTATGACTCTACTGCATTTAATTCTGGAACTAAACATCAAGAAGGATTGATTGTTGATGGTGTGCGGCACAAGTTCAGCAGAATTACATTTAGGCTAAAAGAGTTAAATAAGGAGGAGTAATTCCATTGACTAGTGTTGTGTTCCCATGAGTGTACATTCACTCCCTTTAAACCTCAAGCAGTCCTCATGATATTTAATGTGATGTATCTTTGTAACAAAAAAAATTAGGGGTCTGCCATTCATTGGAGTTTTTGAAGGAGGCCTAAATTAACACCATTCCAACTGGTATAACCCCTGCCTTAGATATTCTAAGTCTTCCTTCAAATTGACATACAGTTGATGTTTGGAACTCTTCCTCAAACTGCAGTGGATGCTGGATCAGTTGTTAATTTTAAATCTGTAATAGATAATTTTTTGTTAAGCAAAGGTATTAAGGGATATGGGCCAAAGACAGGTGAATGGTATTAGGCCACAGATCAGTCACGATCTTATTAAATGGTGGAACAGATTGGAGGGGCTGAAAAGCCTACTCCTGTTCCTAAGTTATAAACTCATTTTCTCTCTGCCTGATGTGTCCCATTATCTGTTTTGACTGTTGCTGACATTTGAAAGATGATTACTTGTTCAGTTTGAAATTACTTCCACACAATGCTGTTTAGTCATACAGCTTCTATTTAGTTGTGCTGACAGCTGATTACAACTTAAAAAAAAACTTGCGCCTTGGTACAGCATTGGTCAGTGATAAGATAATTCATTGTTATTTTGCACTTTGTAGTTATGTAAGTGAGGAAATAATTGTGGGTCAGCTTTCTGGATTTGCTGCCTGACAGAGAAGACGACTTTGCTTCTTTCGGAACTTCTTTGGAACTATAGCTGGATGCTATCCTACCTATTACCTTAAGTTTAGTGCACAAAAATACAATTAGCAAAGATTATAAAGGTAAGTAGTGGTGAGGGAAGGCATTAGATCACCTTTCTCATAATTCCACTTCCGTATCCAAATGCCTCTTGAATGATCTAGATGTTTTGGACCACTGTTCTTGAACAACTATTCTGGGAATTGCAACAGTGATTGTGTAAAACAGACATTATCTAATTGGCTAATCATTAGAATCCAACCTGATTTGACATTGCACCACAGTCACAGAAAATGTTTGGTTAGACCACATTTAAAGTACAGCATTTAGTTCTGGAACTACACATCAAAATGGATGGATTGGAGATGGGGTGCAGCACAGGCACCACAGATTAAATTCGGGGTAAAAGGGTTAAATTAGGAGGACTAATTCCTTCAACTGGTCTTATGATATGATTGTACATTCAGTCCCTTCACCGCCAAAGCACAGTGCTAGGAGTGTGTACCATCTATGAGATATACTGTAGTAACTCATCCAGCTTCTTCCAACAGCACCTTCCAAACCTTTATCATTTAAAAGGATGAAGGCAGCAGATACATGGAAAAACTACTACTGGCAAGTTCTCCTCCAAGTCACATGCCATTCTTGTCTTGGAAATAAATCACTGTCCTTCACTGTTGCTGGGTCAAAATTCTGTAACTCCCTTCCTCAGTGCATTATGGGTGTCCTTACAGTCAAAAGACTGCAATGGTTCAAGGAGACAGCTGACCACCCTTCTCCAGATCAATTAGGGATCGACAATAAATGATGGCCTAGCCAATGATGCTCACAACCCATGAATGAATAAAAAAAGTTTAAACTTTCAAAACTGAGGAAGGATGTTAAGAACTAAGGAACCAGTTAGAATCTGTCACCTATAGATTCTATTCAATGATAGCCTTTAAGGGACACTAAATATATTCTTATACGTTTAAATCCTAGACATAAGGATGCAGAATACTATTAACTGAGGGATTCTATATCCAATATTGTTAAAGAGCATCTTTTCTCATGCTGTCCTGCTCAGGATACCACTTTACAATACTCAGTTTTTTTGCTTTTATTATGTAGAATGAAATATCAATTTTTTTTATTCCTGTTATCTGTTCCTAATAGCTGTGATCCCTCTGAACAGCACTATGGACCCAGCCAGCATCGTCCACTGGAAATGAATTTTTAAAAAAATTGAAGTGTAATAAATAAACTCAGTCTGCCTGGTTGAAATATCTGTTGTTCAATTATTTCAGTGCCGGGACAACTTTATGTTTTGTGTTACAATTGTATTTTGCAATGCAGCAGCCAAGGATCTTTGGCACATTTCAATGTAAACAACAGCAACAACAAGGATGAAGGGTAAGCAGCTTAGATAGATTACGTTCTACTCCCACTAGAGATTCTAACCAATCCTGCTAATAGCATAGAGTAGCCTGCAGTAGTTTGGTTGAATCTGACAAAAGTACAATTAATACGCCAAGGCGCTTTATGTCTGACTTATTGTTATATAAAGGAGGAATTAATTAATATCCTTTGAAATGTTACACTTGTATTGCATTTCTAGTTAATCAAAGGTAAAACATACCTCTAGCAATTAAAATTAGCAGCAGATAAAAAGATTGGGTTTTCTGATCAGATGGCTTATGTTTGTGCACTAATCAAGCAAGTCGTAATCAGAATCTTGCTATTTGATATTTAAAATCTTTAACTCATATATTAAGATCTACATTAGCACCTCAGTTTTGATGGAAACCATGGTAATGATAAATTTTGGTAAAAATATTTAATCAAACATTAAAGAAAAGTTTGAAATTGAAATTGTTCATAATTTGAAGAATTGAATGCAGAAAATAAAGAGAAAGGGTGAGGTATAGAAATGAATGGCAAACTAGAGCCGTGTCTCCAGAGTGGACTTCCCAACATATATCATCCAAATTAAGATTTTAATCTGCAGCACTGCAGATTAAATGAAGAGTTGTGCCAGGGACTACGGTTCACCCAGGTGAAATGAAAATAAATTATCCATTTACTTTCGCTACAAAACAACACTGAAAGAAATACCTCCCGGCAAGGTTGAGGAGGTTAAATTAGCTGGGAAAGGGCCACTTGCAATTAGCAAGGATGGCATACAAGGTGTACACCTTTTATAACAAATAAAGGAACAATTCAGTGCATCTGAATCTCTCTAATTTCTTATTAGAAGTTGGTGTGAGAAAAGAAATGTATTGTATTAAATAAGTAATACAATAACGAGATAGGAAAATAACAAGGCCTCCTGCAGATATTTTGTGTCTGACTGCATCCTTGCATCTGTGTAATATGGATGGATATGCAGCAAATCCATTGGGGATGGGATAGTTTCCTATGTTGCACTTTTGCTGATGGCTCAAGACATCAATTTGTGATGAAAGGTTCTGCCACAAATGCTGCAAATTTGGTGGTTATCAGGTGTCATTGTGGGTTGTCATTATTCTAAGTGTATTCATGAGTGTTGTAGTGTTTACTTACCATGAAGCATTGTGTTACAACCTTTCTTGTATAACACTGTGGGAAATATTGTAGAAATAGTCTAAAAAAGACTGTGTAGTACCTAGCATTTGCTTTTGTCAATTTAAAGTTATATTGCTTTAGAATCCTCTCTAAGATGCTCCTAAAATGCAATGCTCTATCCAAAATCTGTAGTTTATGTGAATAAATGTCTAGATGCGACCCACAGACTTCACAATTGGCTATAGAATTAAATTGTCTTTTTATGTTTTCTTAATATCACTGTATTTTTAAATAGTTTGGCTAAAATTCACTTCATGTACAGTATTATGTTTCATTTTAATAATTTTATTAGATTTTTCTGACCAAACTAGGAATAACTCAACTATTGTCCAACAATTTTCAGTGTTGCTTCTTCCTCTATAGGTATCAATATGGCAGCGTGTGAAATGTGAAGTTGTTCATTTTGGAAGGTAGCACACAAAGGGACTTTGAAGGCACAGAAAACTAGCACACAGATGCAGCAGGGGCTTGACAGGGTAAATGCCAAGAGGATGCTTCCCTTCTTGGGAGAGTCAAGGACCAGACAGCATTGACTCAGAATTAAGGGGCACCAATTTAAAGACTGAAACAAGGATGAATTTCTTCTTTCAGAGGGTTGAGCCTTTGGAATTTCTTAGCATAGAGAGGTATGGGGCAGAGTCCCTGTGTGTATTTAAGGCTGAGATAGACAGATTGTTGATCAGTAGGTGAATCAGAGGTTACAGGGCAAGGGCGGGAAAGTGGACGTGAGGAATATTGGATCAGCCATGATCCTATTGAATGGCAGAGCAGACTTGAGGGTCCAAACAGCCTATTCCTGCTCCAATTTCTTATGGTCTTATTGATAATAAAGAGTCCTAAAGATGATTGTTGTGCCAATTGTATCATTAGAAAATTGTTTTTTGGCCATTCACTTTGCTTACTATTTGATTCTGTTTTACTGCCTAAGTCAAGAAGATGGGCTTTGGAATCACTATGACTTTCTTTCACTGGCCAACAGGATTAAAACATCTTGCTTTTGTAGTGGTGATTTATCTGGCTGTCTTAGTCCAAGTAAATAGAAATGTCTTTTTCCCAACTGGGATAAATGATTTAAACAACAGGTGACAATCTGAGACTCCATTTCCAAATGTTCTCCTCAGGCAGAACCCACTTGTCACTAGCGTCCATCCAAGCGACATGCAATGAGAATATTCCATTTCTGATATTACTTCTAATCCCTGTGTGTTCTTTCTCTTGCAAGTGTTCTCCTTTAATTGAGTGGATTTCTTAACAACTGCAAAGAACAGTGCTGTTCTTTTTCAGCAGCAAAATGAGACAGAAGGACAAGACAGTGCTTGCATTACCCTTGTGTTAAATGGAAGCAAGAGGGCACCAGGACTTAATGCTGTGGGTGGCACGGTGGCTCAGTGGTTAGCACTGCTGCTTCACAGCACCAGGGACCAGGTTCGATCCCACCCTCAGGTGACTGTCTGTGTGGAGTTTGCATATTTTCCCCGTGTGTCTGTGCTCTGGTTACCTTCTACAGTCCAAAGATGTGCATATTAAGTGGATTGGCCATGCTAAATTGCCCATAGTGTCTAGGGATGTGTAGGCTAGTTGGATTAGCCATGGGAAATGCAGAGTTACAGGAAAAGGGTGCATGGGTGGGATGCTCTTTGGAAGGTTGGTATGGACCTAATGGCCTGCTTCCAAGCTGTAGGAATTCTATGATACTTGGTGATGTTAGAGGGTATGGTACTGTGATGGTTATGTTACTAACTTAATAATCCAGAATGAAAAAACACCCACATTTGGAGAATGAATTAAAAAGATGAGTCATATCTCTTCTTGGCAGCTGCTCGTCATTTGTGAGGGATTCACTTTCCCATCCGAGCAGGTCTGGAATTGATCAAACTCATTGCATTATTACAAAAATAGATCAAATCATTTGGCATACCTGGAGCCTAAACATCTTAATAAACACAATATGTCATTTTAATATCTCAATGTTAACTTATATAAGAAATTCTGCATTGACAAATATGCATAGCCAATTGTGAATTTGTGTAGGCACAAATGATTATCCAATTAACTTTCACGTAAAAGAGAAGTAATAAACTGTATTAAGACATTTGGCTTGTCTCTAATCTAAATAAATTTGTGATTGGGCTATTTTATTGACAACTGTGGCCCTTTCTACCCATGATCCTCTTTGATATAATGATCTGCAGTAAGCTGTTAAATATTGATGTTCATCATGCAGCAAAGTGGAAGAAAAGAAAGATGAGGAAAAGAAAGGGAAAAATGATGAGAAAAAGAAGGAAGTGTAAGTAATAAATGTAAACATGAAGAACACTGGTACCCAACTGTTCTTAAATTCTTTGTATTCAGATTCCTTTGCATATCAGTCTGCCCAATGTGGTCATCATGAATGTTACAATGAAATGCTTTCAGCACACTTTTTAGTGCTTGCATTATCCTAGTGTTAACTGCAAACGAGTGCGCACCAGGACTTAATGCTTTGGATTTTCTGCTTCTGTGCTCATTTACCATAACTTGACACTTATTTGCTTTAATGGACAGAAAATTGTGTACTGGTCATTGTAGAAGTCCGAGCCAAATTATTTTGCAAATGGCAGGTATATGATATCCTGAAGGTACTGAAAGTATTTCTGCTGAAGGTAGTTACAATTTAATATTAATAAATTATTACAATGTATTAAATATGAACTATCACTGTTACTCCCATGTAACATGGTTCTGATTTTTAAGTTCTGTGTCTGAGCCCAAGCATGTTTATCTACATGAACATTCTAGGACAGTATAGGTGGAAGTGTCATCGCTGGATGCAGTTCTCAACCATGGAGCATTCTGCCTGTTCCAGTGATTCGGGGACAGATTAAAAATCAGCACCAACATCACAGGGCACGCAACATGGGCAAAGGCCACACACATTCCCAATGTCCACAGATGCTGTCAGCCTCTAGGAACTCTGATGACATGTCTGTGATTGATTTACAGGTCGCTCCTGTGCTTCTGCACTTCAATGCTGTATCACAGGCTGCACCAGCGACTGTCATACATGACTGCGGCATGTGCTTGGGGACACAAAACAACATATGGACTAGACTAGGCTGTGTCTCTGGATCCTGCGCTCACTGTTGTAGCAGTCACTCACTTTGATTCTACTTGGATTCTCACAGCCTCCCTGACTTGCATTGCCTTTTTGTGCTTTGCCCCTCTGCCAGGCTCTTCTCTTGCCATGCAGCTCAGACACAAAACTAGGAAGCTGGTCGTGGTGGTCAGCAGGCCTTTACTCGGGTGTTCCCTGGCACAGCCTATCAAGGGAAGCCTGAGATACCAGTCCAGGCCCTGCTTGGGGCAGTCAGAGTCAAAGCTGAATGAATGATGGGCATCACACCACTCACCTTGACTGTTTCTGCGAGACTTGGTGTGGTTTTCCTTGTGGAAGGAGAGAGAGAGGCAGATATTACGAAACATGAAAATGGGTAGCACAGCTATTATTTTTATTGCATGTGGGGAGGTATCCCAAGTGAGTGAATGGTCCATGCAGACAGCGTGCAGGATTAGAGTTTATCGTGCATGAGAGTGAGTGAGGGTAAACATTGCAGACATTGGTAAGAGTAGTCCGGGATGGGGGTGGGGGGTGAGTATATCAGCTGAGATAGAGTGAGCGTGAGGTATCAGAGAGAAGATGGTGGAGTGGAAAAAGACATTGAGTATCTTCCAACATTCCTGCAGATAGGTGAGACTGTACTGATCTGGGGGGCAAACTTGGGCCATGCTCTGGTATCGTGGCCTCTACTCCTGGTCCCGGGGAGAAAGAAACTTCTGAATCACACTATCCCATCTAGCAGGATGTTCAGGACGCTGCCTGAAAAGCGGACCCCCTTATATACCCCTGTCTGCCACGTCTGTTGCAAATATCTGGACTGACAATGTTAGTCCAAGTGCTCAATGAGCTTTTAAAGGTGGCATGGTCACCAGGGACGACGGTGAATTCTGGGATATGCAGTGAGTGATGAATTCTGGGATATCCAGTGAGCGATAAATTCTTTTGGGAAGGGCACCTGGTTTGATGGGTTGAAAATCAAATGTGAGAGATGCCATGGGAGGCAATTAATGATGTGAGTTTAAGATAGAGTGAGAAACCCTCCAGAAAACTTGACACAACTCAGACTTAGCCAAAAAAATCGTTAGGTTCAACACTGCACGTCCTTGTTGTCAAACAGCCTGGAATTTCTCTCAGTTTGCTCAGATTGCTCTCAGTTTCTTCCGAGAAATTCGCCCAAAATTCAACCAAACCAATACCAAAACCTGAAGAGTCCCAAACATACACATCAAAATGGAGTTATTGCAGTTTTTTGCACTGGTTTTATTGCTTTTTATTAACATATTTCTCTGATCGACCTGTTCAAAGATGTTATTACTCACTTCTGGTACAGGTGGGACTTGAACCCAGTTTTGTAAGCATTATGCTGGACATTGGCCCTGCCCACAAAGTTGGCTATGCCCCTAGATTGAATTATTTGCCATGATGAATTCTACTAATTGTGTCTATTTGCAGATCTTTTTAGAAGTTACCCCTGAAAAGTAAGCTTTTTTTTAGATGCAAGGAAACTAAAATAGCAAAACTCAGAAATGGGCTCTTGTACACCAATTAAACACAAACTTCTTGTGTAGTTTTTTTAAAAAAATGTCATTTACAATTATTTAAAACTGGGCCACTCTCGGGTAGTGGATGATAGACTCTGATTAAAAATGATCATAAAAATGCTGATTAAAAAGTTATCACAATCTTTGTGATAACCCCATATTTCAGTAGTATTAATAAACCTGTAGTATGCTATTACTCTCAGATATAGCAAAGGATTTTTTTTTTAATGGACAGCATATTTTGGTTCAGGAAAGAGTTTGCCTTCAGGAAATGCAACTAGCTTTGAGAAAAAAAGTCAGTTCACCAAATTATTGCAATTTTGAGCACATTTTGTACATTGGCTAAAGAATTTCTGCCTTAGCAACCTAAGTGCTTTGGGATTACAAGTAACATGGTAAGATCCTTTATCATGCTTCTGTTATGTTTCTCTTTTATTTACAAGAATGTTTTGGCTACAGTTCAATAGTTATGGGTTTAATGTGGCAACAGTTTTAGTTTATCTGTTTGAACTTATAGATTAAGAGTGTAACTTGGCATCCTGTAGGTTCTTCAATTGTTGAAATGTGCGACATGCATTGGTGCAAATTTGATCCATCCAGCTTTGAATGGAATAGTGTACCTAAAGTTTATAGCTAATTAATTACCATGGACAATAGTACAAGCAGATTGAAAGCTGTGCTGAACTAATGGTGACTAAGCAACTTGTGTGCTTTGGTTCACAGAACATACCATTTTGAGTTCAACATTTAATATTAAGCAAACTCCACAAAATGATTAACTAGACAAATACTTCACTGTAGATTTTTTTTGATATCAATGTTTAAAAATGAAACTTGTTATGTGTTATTTCTCTTGATTTTTTGAAAATTTGTTGGTTTAGAAAGTACTACAGAGCAATTTGCATTGTGAAACTAAAATGGAATTCCACTGAATGAAATTAACTGGAACAAAATTTTATATTGAAAGTATCTGTTGTGACAAAATCTGTTTTGGTTTCCAGGAAGAAGGATTGGTACGTCATTGACCCTTCAGAAAATCTTTACTACAGATGGCTTTCTGTTATCGCAGTGCCTGTACTGTACAACTGGTGTATGCTGGTATGCAGGTAGGTTTAAAAATAACCCTATAAGCGATCAATACTAGACTTATGAGATAGAAGTACATAATCAAACATTTTAGGTTAAAGATGCAGTGCTGTAAAGTATTTTGACATCTGTGCCCAAATTTATAATCAGATATATGTAATTGTTTAATTGCTGAGGTGAGACTATTAGCATGGCACTAATCAGGACTTGACGCATCATTCAAATTTCTATGTCAAAATCAATCATGGCCCTCAATTTATCCCTTTTTACTCTCAACAACAACCTAACAGATCCTTCAACCTCAATTCCCATTCTACTTTAGAGGTCCTTCAGTTGGCACGGCTGTAGTTGGTTTATTTCCTGTGAATATCTGCATTCACTGGCTCTTTCCTTCCTTAGTAAACCTTTCTTCGTGAGACTCTTAAACAACCTGTTAATACAGCTCACTTATTTCTTAACTTATATTCCACACCCTTCTGTTTCTGGAGCTTTCTCTGACTGACGTTTAACCACTCAGGACTTTTTCTCAGTCCTGACTGCTTTGGAGATGGCTTAGCTAACAGCCTTTCTGCTGCAATAGATTTGTTCTCTCTGATCGAAACCCACAGATTTCTGGATGGTTCCCTCTTTTTATAACAATGAGTTTCTATCTCTGTTGTCCTGTCTTGCTTGTTGATAGGAAGCACCTGATCTTTTTTTTCCCTTTCTCTATCCTTGCTTTTCTAAAGCATTGAACTATTCAGCTTGAGGTTTTTTTCTTTAAAAAGGCCTCATATAAATACAAGTAAACACACTGCCAAATTCCACTATCACACTTAGAACTCAAAAATGAAACAAAGTCTTTTGCTTCTGAATCCACATAATATGGAGAAACAGATCAAATTTAAAGCTGTACATGGTTCGGTCCACTTTAGAACCCAGGTTTCCAAATAATAACGATATGGTAAATCTTCAGTATCCGTGAGTTCATAACTCACAAATTCACCTGTCCACATCAAAAAATAAGTAGCAACAAAATTCAATGTCCGCATGCCAAACTCACATATCCGTGATTTTTGACCTGTATTTTTAATGGGCTCCACACTGGCAAATTTCATCATTCGCAGGCAAAATCAGAAACAGAACCCTCACAGATACAGAGGAGTGACTGTACATCATGAACTTTCCGAAATCTTGCAGAGAAGTGGAATCGACATGATGGGCTGAATGATTTCTATTTGTAACCATTCCATGATTCTATGAAGGACCTCACTAAATGTTTTGAAAAAACTAATTCACGTTATGTGAATTAAGGGGAGGTGATGGCCTAGTGGCGTTATCGCTGGGCTGTTAATCCAGAGACGCAGATAACGTTCTGGGGATCCAGGTTCCAATCCCGCCATAGCAGATGGTGGAATTTGAATTCAATATAAGTATCTGGAATTAACAGTCATTAATGGTGACCATGTCATTGTCAATTGTCAGGAAAAACCCATCTGGTTCACTAATGCCCTTTAGGGAAGGAAACTGCCATCCTTACCTGGTCTGGCCTACATGTGACTCCAGACTCACAGCAATGTGGTGGACTCTGAACTGCCCTCTGGGCAATTAGGGATGGGCAATAAATGCTGCTTAGCCAGCGACGCCCTCATTCCCATTAATGAATTAAAAAAAAACAAAATGTGGTTATCACTAGCTAGACCACCATTTATTACCCACTCTTAATTGCCTAGAGGACATTAATGAGTTAACCACACATTTCTGTGAGCAGCACGTAAGATGTAGGCAGCAGTTCCCTTTCCTAAGGGATATTTGTGAACCAGATAAGATTTTCTGACAATCAACAATTTTAGGCTACGTCCACTAGTCATAGATTTTCTAACCAGTGAAATATTTTTTCTCCATCTCCTCCATCAATTCCCATTAGTATCCTGAAAGCTTTTTTTGGACTGTTTGGTAACAAGAAAATGATAACTTAATTCTATGCTTTGTATCTAAATCAACTGGAGCTAACGTGAAAGAAACCAAATATATTTTACCTCAGCTGCTCAAAATCAGCTGAAGAAACTTTCCTCCCATATGTCTATGTTGAACTGGAATCAAGATATCAGGATTAAAAAAAAAATGGCACAAATCCATTAAGTCACCTCAGACCTTGGAAATACAGGTTTAACGTACCTTCCATGGACTCAATGGAGCTGCCCTTATTCCTACACTGTAGCTCTTTTCTGAAAAGTAAAACATAATTAAAAGTAATTTGCGTGTGTTTTGCTCTATTCAAACTTTATGTACAAAACTCAAGTTGCCCAGATACTGCTGACAGTACATTACTATACAATGTGTTCTGACAACTTGCAGAACATACATGTTGGTTTATTGTCAAATTCAAAGTTGTATTTTGTATTTTAGGGCTTGTTTCGATGAACTTCAAACAAAAAATCTTACCCTGTGGCTGGTGCTGGATTACCTCTCTGATATAATCTATGTTATAGATTCAGCTGTAAGATTCCGAACAGGTGAGCAAGTTTTTTTTCGAATGAACTGTCTGTTTATGTTACTTGCTTATCTAGGAAATGGGCCCAAGTTTCCCAATCTCTGAATTGCTGGAGATCAGACGTAGGCGCAGAGAAACATGCCAGGACACACTGGATGTCCTGATGTACGTGGGAATTACCTGGGAAGTTTCAATTTCCAGTGAGCAAATCCCCTATTTCTCGTGGTCCACTGTGAATATCTCCTGCTTTGAGTTTGCTTTGGGGACCTCAGACAGTTCTGACGTACCTACGTGAGTAGTTGCCTAGGAAATGTCAGGCAGAAAATAAACTAGTCTAACTCCTCGGTAACTCCAGATCCAACAGTCAATAATGCACACTGACACCTCCAACTACCTACCAGACTTGCCACCTGACACAATTACCCCACCATCTCACCCCTCCACCCAGTGCAATTACCATGTCATTTCACACTTTGCTCCACCTGACACAATTACCCAGTCATCTCAACAACCCCACCTCACCCAACGCAATTACCCGATCATTCCCCACCGTTCCGCCCAACAAGATTACCCCATCATCTCACCCCACTCTTCTCCACCCAATTACCCAGTCATCTCCTCCACCTTTCTACGCTATCCAATTACTTAGTCATCTCAGTTCCCTCTCCACCTTATCAACTTACTGACTCATGTCACCCACCTGTGCACCTTATCTATTCAACCATTCACTGACATTCACACTGGAATTTAAACTCATCATGAATGCTGTTGAGATAACAAGGTGTAGAGCTGGATGAACACAGCAGGCCAAGCAGCATCAGAGGAGCAGGAAGGCTGATGTTTCGGGCCTAGTACCCTTCTTCAGAAATGGGGGAGGGAAGGGGGTTCTGAAATAAATAGGGAGAGAGGGGGAGGCGGATAAAAGATGGATAGAGGAGAAGATAGGTGGAGAGGAGACAGACCGGTCAAAGAGGTGGGGATGGAGCCAGTAAAGGTGAGTGTAGGTGGGGAGGAGATAGGTCAGTCCAGGGAGGACGGACAGGTCAAGGGGGCGGGATGAGGTTAGTAGGTAGGAGATGGGGGTGGGGCTTGAGGTGGGAGGAAGGACAGGTTAGGGAGGCGGGGACGAGCTGGGCTGGTTTTGGGATGCGGTAGGGGGAGGGGAGATTTTGAAGCTTGTGAAGTCCACATTGATACCATTGGGCTGCAGGATTCCCAAGCGGAATATGAGTTGCTGTTCCTGCAACCTTCGGGTGGCATCATTGTGGCACTGCAGGAGGCCCAGGATGGACATGTCGTCCAAGGAGTGGGAGGGGGAGTTGAAATGGTTCGCGACTGGGAGGTGCAGTTGTTTAGTGCGAACCGAGCGTAGGTGTTCTGCAAAGCGGTCCCCAAGCCTCCGCTTGGTTTCCCCGATGTAGAGGAGAACAGCAGATGCAGTATACCACATTAGCAGATGTGCAGGTGAACGTCTGATTGATGTGGAAAGTCATCTTGGAGCCTGGGATCGGGCTGAGGGGGGAGATGTAGGGGCAGGTGTAGCACTTCCTGCGGTTGCAGGGAAAAGTGCCGGGTGAGGTGGGGCTGGAGGGGAGTGTGGAGCGGACAAGGGAGTCACGGAGAGAGTGGTCCCTCCTCTGCATTGGGGAAACCAAGCGGAGGCTTGGGGACCGCTTTGCAGAACACCTACACTCGGTTCGCACTAAACAACTGCACCTCCCAGTTGCGAACCATTTCAATTCCCCCTCCCATTCCGCAGACGACATGTCCATCCTGGGCCTCCTGCAGTGCCACAACGATGCTACCCGAAGGTTGCAGTAACAGCAACTCATATTCCGCTTGGGAACCCTGCAGCCCAATGGTATCAATGTGGACTTCACAAGCTTCAAAATCTCCCCTCCCCCGACCGCATCCCAAAACCAGCCCAGCTCGTCCCCGCCTCCCTAACCTGTCCTTCCTCCCACCTATCCCCTCCTCCCATCTCAAGCCCCACCCCCACCTCCTACCTACTAACCTCATCCCGCCCCCTTGACCTGTCCATCCTCCCTGGACTGACCTATCTCCTCCCTAACTCCCCACCTACACTCACCTTTACTGGCTCCATCCCCGCCTCTTTGACCGGTCTGTCTCCTCTCCACCTATCTTCTCCTCTAGCCATCTTCTATCCGCCTCCCCCCCCTCTCCCTATTTATTTCAGAACCCCGTTCCCCTCCCCATTTCTGAAGAAGGGTCTCGGCCCGAAACATCAGCCTTCCTGCTCCTCTGATGCTGCTTAGCCTGCTGTGTTCATCCAGCTCTACACCTTGTTATCTCAGATTCTCCAGCATCTGCAGTTCCTACTATCTCTAAATGAATGCTGTTGAAATGGGGCATGGCCTGTTGGGCTTCAGTGGAATGCCCTAATGGATGTAGTGCTCTACGTTTCCAGTAAAAACAGACTAAGAAGACCTGGTAAGAAATGCAGAGCAACGTCAAGGTGGGGAATGGTTTGAGTGGAATGGATAATCTGACAAGGATTGCCACTCCTTAGAAGATGAAGACTATTATATCTTGCTGTGGCCAGTTTTCTCCCAAGCTATGCCTCATTCCAAGATTGAGAGGATGTGTTTGTAACTAATCCCTTCACTTTGCTTCTGTATAAACCATTCACCTGGAGGGGTGGTCCATTGAGTAGTCCAACCGTCAATCAATTGAACTTTCTTTCCTGCTGTTCTGTTGAGCTATGAAGGTTTATTTTCAGTTGTTTGTACAATTCTGACAGGAAGCCTTGTCAACTATGAGTACAGACAGCCTATCCAATACCTTCAACTCATCCATTTTAAACCCTTCAGACAAATTGACAATTTAAGAACATAAGAAATAGGAGCAGGAGTAGGCCGTCTGGCCTGTTAAGCCTGCTCCACCATTCGATAAGATCATGGCTGATTTTTTTGTGGATGCAGCTCCACTTACCCGCCCACTCACCATAACCCTTAATTCCTTTATTTTTCAAGAATGTATCTTTGCCTTAAAAACATTCAACGAGATAGCCTCAACCATTTCACTGGGCAGAGAATTCCACAGATTCACAACCTTTTGGGTAGAGAAGTTCCTCCTCAGCTCAGTCCTAAATCTGTCCCCCCTTGAGGCTATGCCCCCTAGTTCTCGCTTCACCCACCAGTGGAAACAACCTCCCTGCTTCTAGCTTATCTATTCCCTTCATAATTCTACATGTTTCTATAAAACCTCCCCTCATTCTTCAAAGGGTTGATGGGTTTGGAACTGATTTCCTTTGAGAAGATAAGGTTGAGAGGAGAAAAAAAAACAAAAGAGAAAAAAATTGCAGATGCTGGAAATCTGAAACAAAAAGAGAAATTGCTGAGAAGAACAGTACTGTCGAAGGATCACTGGACCCGAAATGCTGACTGCTTTCTCTCCACGGATGCTGCCACATCTGCTGAGTTTCTCCAACAATTTCTGTTTTTAAAGCTGAGAGGAGATTTGGTCAAATTTTTCAAAATTTGGTACAAAGTACAAAGGCAAAAGCTGCTTTTATTGGTGGAAACAGTGAGAATGAGAGGGCAAGGATATAATGTAACTGGCAAAAGAAGAAACAGTGACAGAAGAGGAAACAATCTCAAACGGTGAGTGCTCAGGTCTGGAAAGCGTTGTCTGAAAATGTAGTGGAGACGGTTAATTCGACACATTCAAAAGGGAATTAGATGATTATCGGAAAAGAAGGAACATGCAGAAAGAAGGCAGGAATGGCACTAACTGAAATAACCAGATGGAGGAGCTAGCATAGACACAGTTGGCCCGACTGCCTCCTGTGCTCTAATAATTCTGAGTGTGAGAGACTATGGTGATTGCTAACTTGGCTGGAGTTGAAAACCAATCTCAAATTTACTAGATAAGCCACATTCTCAGCAAATATAAGGCTGGTGAACACAGTTCTGTCAGGGTGAGGGAAACAAATAATCATGTCATACTCAGCCATGATCTAATGTTTGAACAAGTTTGAGAGCTCAATGGCCTGCTCTTGTTCCTATGTTCCCATGTTCAGAAGCTTACACAATATGCTGGAGTAAGGTTTGAACCCACAATTTTCTCGTTGAAATGCAAAAATGCTACTCAATGCAAAAACTAATATTTCTTCAATCATATAGTCATAATTTATGATACATTGTACTTTCATTGCTAAAATTGAAAAGGCACCGATCAATTTATTTTCTCAGCAATACTTCTGGTTACATTTCAGAGCAACTCATTTAAAAACTTTGGCACAGCCAAAACTTCTCAGTATAGTCTAGATGGGTTACTGTAGGCACACACAAGAACAACTTGTTCCTATTTAAACAAAAACTGCACAGAGCTTGTTTTGTTGAAATACAGTAACAAAAATTAACTGTTTGTAGATCAGACATTATTGAAAATATTAGAAACCCTGCAGCCCCGCTTGTTTGAAACCTATGTTTTTGCCCATTGCACAGTCCAATAACTTCATACTTCTCTATTCAGGTTTTCTTGAACAAGGATTGCTGGTTAAGGATACAAAGAAACTGAGAGAGAATTACATGAGGATGCCTCAGTTTAAACTCGACATGCTCTCTCTTTTACCAACAGACTTAGCCTACATTTGGTTGGGGTTTAACTACCCAGAAGTGAGATTTAATCGTCTCTTCCGTTTTAGCCGAATGTTTGAATATTTTGATCGCACAGAAACCAGGACAAACTACCCTAACATGTTTCGAATTGGAAATCTTGTTTTGTACATTCTCATCATCATTCACTGGAACGGTTGCATTTATTATGCGATTTCAAAATCAATTGGGTTTGGTATTGATACCTGGGTCTATCCAAACATATCCCATCCTGAATATGGGCGACTTAGCAGGAAATACATCTACTGCCTTTACTGGTCCACTTTGACCTTGACTACCATTGGAGAGACACCTCCTCCTGTCAAAGATGAGGAGTATCTATTTGTGGTCATTGACTTCCTGGTGGGAGTTCTCATCTTTGCCACCATTGTTGGTAATGTGGGCTCCATGATCTCAAACATGAATGCGTCTCGAGCAGAGTTCCAATCCAAAATTGACTCCATCAAACAGTACATGCAGTTCCGTAAAGTGAGCAAAGATCTCGAGGCCAGGATCATCAAGTGGTTTGATTACCTATGGATCAACAAGAAGAGCGTGGACGAGAAGGAAGTCCTCAAAAACCTACCTGACAAACTAAAGGCGGAAATCGCCATCAACGTCCACTTGGACACGCTGAAGAAAGTCCGGATATTTTCGGATTGTGAAGCTGGCCTTTTGATCGAGTTGGTGCTCAAGCTGCAGCCTCAAGTGTACAGCCCCGGGGACTACATCTGCCGAAAGGGTGACATTGGCAGGGAGATGTACATCATCAAAGAAGGCAAACTGGCAGTTGTAGCCGATGATGGGGTAACACAGTTTGTAGTCCTGAGCGATGGCAGTTACTTTGGGGAGATTAGCATCTTGAATATAAAGGGCAGTAAGGCAGGCAACAGGCGGACTGCCAACATAAGAAGCATAGGCTACTCTGATCTGTTTTGCTTGTCCAAAGCCGACCTGATGGAAGCCCTGACTGAGTATCCGGATGCCAAAAAGATTCTGGAAGAGAAGGGACGTCAGATTCTGATGAAGGATAATTTAATAGATGAAGAGGCAGCAAAAGAGGGTGCAGATCCAAAAGACCTGGAAGAGAAGGTGGAGAGAATGGAATCTTCATTGGACTGCCTGCAGACCAAGTTTGCTAGGCTCATGGCGGAGTACAATTCCAGTCAAATGAAACTGAAACAAAGGCTGACAAGAGTAGAGAAAACAGTAAAAATCTATGGCAGTGGCTACTTATCTGATGGCCTGGACAGTTCAACTGACATAGAACTAGGAAAACAGTGACAAGAATAAATGGCAATTACTCACCTGTTTTCTTACTATTTTGATACACTGGATGAGAAAAAATTATTTTTGTAAATTCAGTATAAGTTTAGTTTATACATTATAATTCTTGACGAATCAGTTAGCATTTTATGTGGATCGGCCACTAAACTTTAACAACAAATGATGACTAATTTAGTACCAAATGATTTTCAGTAGTTTTTAAAAAAAAATTTGTCAGTCGTAATGGGGAGTTGAATTCAAACACTCCTGTTTAACAACTAGTAAAGAGCTTGGAACCACAAAGTTCATGTTTTAACATCTTGTGCTGTCGAAGTTTAAATGTTTTGACATTTTTATTGTTTATGGTTATATTAGATATATACAGCATAAAGATTATAAAATATATGCACTAGGACCTTCACTTTGCTGAATAAAGCCAGGCATTCTCCATTCTTAACAGGGAAGGAGATATTTTAAAAATTCATCCATGGAATATGGACGTCACCAGTTGGCCCAGTATTTATTGTTCAAACCTAAGAGCCCAGAGGGCAGTTAAGAATTAACCACATTTCTGTGGGTCTGGAGTCACATGTAGGCCAAATCAGGTAAAGAAGGCAGATTTCCTCCCCTAAAGAACATTAGTGAACCAGATAGGTTTTTCCCTTGACAATCAGCAACGGTTTCACGGTCATCTTTAAACTCTTAATTCCAGATTATTATTCCACTATATACCATGGTGGAGGCATGGTAAGTGGCTAGTGACAGGTCTTGCCGGGTTGAGGGTTGTAAGGGGCGCTGGACAATCAGAGGCCACCAGTTGTCCATTGCAGGCAGTGCCACTGGGCAACTGCTGGCAATGTACCCAAGCTAGAATCCAGGTCACAGCTGAGCGAGGGCAGAATTGGAGTGGTGAGGGTGGGGTGGGGTGGGAGAGCACGGGACATTGGAAGACAGGGATCAACAGCGAGGGTGACTGTCTCAAACAGTGCCGTTGATGAAAGACCGTCCCCAGGAGCCCATAGTAAATGTGACAGGGTTTGTTTTTTAGGCAGTAGCAACTGCTCCCAACCCCCTCAAAACAATACCAGCAGTGGCAGAATGACACCCTTAAGTGCCAATCACCAATCATTCTGCCCAGACACAATTGTTGTAGGGGCAAAGAAACAGTGGTGTCCCCTTCTTTTGCCTCATACCACCCACCTCCCCAACATGATGAACTGCCCTCTCATTTTCCAAACTCAACGTGAGGGTGGGCACTAAGTTCCATCTCACCAAAACTTTTATGCATGAATGTTAAGCACAGAGTCAGAATTAAAATTTTTAAAAAAAGGCTGCTTACTCATTGATACCATTTAATGTCTCTGACCATTCCAACTCCCCCATCCCCACCACGATGTATGTGATCGTCAATGGTAACATTGTAACAAACCATACTAACTCTTGAAGTTGATACCATGTGGAACAGATGTTAGCATTACTCTTTTCTGAAAAGTGCCTCGTGGTAACATTAAAATATCGAGTTCATTAAAAAAAGTTTTCATCCAACTAATTTTCCAAATGTGACTAAATAAAATTTGGTGACTGCAGATTCATCACTGGGAATAGACAACGAGGCTAATGCATTGGAAACTTTCAGATGGTAGCTTTGGCGGATTATCCATTTTAATTGCAAGATGAACTAACTGGGCAAGTTAACCTCTCTCTTGTACTTTGGGAAAATAAAATGGACTGCAAATATGTACCTGACCAATCCACCTGTCCAGATTAGGGTTCACCAAAAAGTGTATTGAGCAAAATAGGCTCAACCTGACTATTTTATCTAATCTTCCTGTATATTGGTAATCAAGTTGCTGTAATCCAAGACTGGTAGTTTTTCTCTTCTCCAAAAGGTGACTTTTTTAAAAAAGGGAAAAACAGGTCTTGTTTATGTCTGTTGGAAATGTAATCCTAAATTAAGTCTTGCAACCTATTGTCAATTTTTGTTTGGATGGAAACATGTTGTCAGACATTTTTTGCGCTAATGGAGTAAATTTTGCATTAAACTTATCACAATTTAATGTATCATTTTGCCGTCTTTCCTTCTGGCAAGTGACTATTATTGAATTCTCCACTACAATTATTGGGAACACACTGAAGTTCCATAAGAGGGTTCCTGAGATTGAGTGAGAATCTGGAAATGCTGGAAGTTCTGAAAGAACTCAACAACAATTTACATAGTGCCTTTAAATGTCCCAAAGCTGCTCAAGCAGGAACTCTTGGAAATATATAGAATGTCAGTCAACAGATGGAAAAAATAATGGAAGTTCTGAGTGAGAATGTTGATTACAACCTATATTTCTGAGTATTTGAACAATAAGCAGACTCACTTAAATATCAAACTTAGGTAAGCCCTTTCCCAGTTCTCTTTCAAAAGCACAGTGTCTACAGATGATTTATGCATCCATAATTGGTACAAAGAATAATTAATTTAAAATTAGATTAAGATATCTGCTCATATTTATTACTGTTTAATGATGTGGTGTATTTACTGTACTAGCAAAATAATTTGGCAAGTACGAACATGTCTCTGTCGGGTGTAGCCTGTTGGTAATGCTGCGTAACTAAGACTCAATAGATGATGGATGGCTCTGCAAATAGTGAAGATGTTCAGTGTTAAACATTGGACTTCTTGATTACAACGGAATGGTGTCCAAACTGGTTCTCAATACTTCGGTCTTATCTTGCTTATGTCTCCTATTAAAGAAGGAAAGATAAAGAACCACACATTGGAACTTTTGTCCTTTTTCTAGCTTCTTCAATCGGGCGCGAAGGGCTGTTATATTACATCTTATTACATCTTGTTCAGAAGGACAAATTACAATTGGAATTTAAACAAAAATAATACTGAAGTTAACTAGAAATCCAATGGAGGGTACATACTTCAACTATTAAATTGTCCTTTTTTGTTACTGATGTTGGCTGGTCTGTATATTTCCAGCTACGTTATTCTATTTGTTGCAGCAGTGGAGTCTGCAACTAGGCTGAGTGATATCAGGCAATGTGATGTCAGTTAAGTGAGAGGCCAGTTGGAATTAAAAGGAGCACTGATGTGTGAAAAACCTATTTGGAAGGATTAAATAAGTCATTAATTTTTTTTCACAATGCAAAACTTTCCTACTACCCAGGTCATTAAAAGGTTTATAGAGGACTTCTTAGTAATGATTATAAACTGCAAGAAGCCAGTTTTAAGGACAATTAATCCTCCTTGAGGTTCACTGTAAAGGCACGGCAATTATTCCTCCTGACAAATCATTGATCTGCTCAGGAACCACCTCAATGACTGAGGTACTTGTTTCAGCTCTTTGTGGAAGATTTTGCAGATTTGAAAACAAAATTTTTGAAGTTTTTTTTTCTGAAGAAGGGTCTAGGCCCGAAACGTCAGCCTTCCTGCTCCTCTGATGCCGCTTGGCCTACTGTGTTCATCCAGCTCTACACCTTGTTATTTCAGATTCTCCAGCATCTGCAGTTCCTACTATCTCTGGACCAAGAGGCCTGGTTTCAAGTTCGACCTTCTACAGAGGTGTGTGATAACACATCGGAACAGACTGATTAGTAAATATCTACAAAACAGCACAGGAACCCTTTAGGGGCAAATGAAAAAGAACAGTTCCCCCTCCGCACTTCCACCAGACATTTTTATTTCTGCGCTTTTACGAACTCCACCTCCCCTCCCCCTTGTATCCGGCGTTCCAGTAAATGTATCCATGTGATTAGCCTATGTCAGGCTATGGTCCATTACTGTTTAACTACAAGCAGTAATGAACGGAGAACACATTTCACAGAGCTGCCTTGTGACTGTATATCTTTGGTTACGCTTTTGAGAGCGTGTGCCTGGGATTGGGAAGAGGTTCCCCTTCTGTGAACTCTCTTTGGCTCATCCTCAGGACCCCAGGTACAAAGCATCTCCCCTCCCACCCACAGTCCCCCAGCTTCTGAGGGAGGGAGCGAGTGTTGATAACCGACCAGACAGAGAATTGAGATCCTTAACGCCCTGACAACGCAAAAGGGGCATAACTGGTTTGGTCTTTTGTAACTGTGTTAATTACATTCAAAAAAAGGGGATTGAATTACCATCGTCCGGGAAGGATGTGGTTTCTCGCTGGCATCACACCTTTCAGAGGCTGCTTCGGATTCACAACAGAAGGAAGAGAGTTTCTCCTGCGTCAATTTCTCAGCGTTTGCACCAAATCCGACCTCCCCGCTGAGACGTTTGGTAAGAGACATGGCACACAAGAGAACGAGGGAGGTCGAGCAGTCAAAGATGATACTGTCCATGAACTGGAAAGAGGAAATGTTACTCCAGAAGAGACTGAGCCTCCTGGATTCCCTGAAGAGGCAGGTGGCCGACTTTTACTCGCTCGACCAGAGGGTTGCGTACCGCCGCTTTCGAGGCAAACTCTGGCGCTCGGAGCTGGCTCACGCCCGGCTGATGGGGAGGAAGGAGCTGGTCGAGCGGCTGCAGCAGGTCAGCGCCCTGCCTAGCTTCCACACCACCGTCGGCGACGGCAGCCAGGCGGCGGTCAGGGGAATCCTGCGGCGGGCCGCCTGCAGCCCTCTGCTGAGCTCCCCGTCTGCCGGAGGGCGGACCGTACCTGGGACAGCCCGAGGGGTCGGCAGCAGGCACCCCGGGGCGAGAGCCCACACCTCGGCCGCCGCTGCAGCGGGGACCAGCGGCGAATTCGTCCCGAATGGCAGGCAGGAGTGGGGGGGCGGCAGGCTTAGGGCTGTTCAGCCCGAGTGGGAGTGCACGAGCCGGACTGCAGCGATAACCAGGGACTCGCCCCGCAACATCTTCTTGAACCTCGGAGAGCGCGAAGAAAAGCTGCCCCTGCTGGAGATCCACGCTTACCTGAGTGGCCTGATGCAGCTGGAGGAGAAGGTGAAGAGTTTCCTGCAGCACAGTCCCGGAGCGAGGGATGATGATGACTCCGAGAGGCTGCAGGCGCTGGGAACACAACCCAGCCACAAACCGCGGCAACTCTCCGCTGAACTAGACCAGGAGGCGGCTCCCTGGCATTTTGTTGGCAAAGAGTTGCATCACCGAAGCATAACCTTTAAAAAACTAGACGAAGGGTTTTGCTCGTTGGGCTGTCCTTGTTGATTATTTCCGAAACATTCCCGCTTCCTGGTCAAAATTACGCCCCCACCCCCGAGACACGAGGATGTTCTATTCGGTTTAAGCTCCGAGTTGGCTGTGAGTCTTTCGTTCCTTCCACATTTTGTGTGTAATTAAAACACTTACACCGACAAATCGGCTTTCCCTTTAAGGGGAGGTGAGGCAATTTGGGGATCTTCACTTTGTAATGTATTTAAAAATTAATACGGAAACCAAAGACATATGGTGCAACTTACAACTTTTTAATCAGTTTTCGGGCTGTGTTTCAGTTCCGTACAGTCGCTGGCATGAAGAACATGGCAGTTGTTTTTTTGATCTAGGCGCCCCGACACGACAGAATGACTTCCCTTTACCAAAGCAACGAGAGCACTGTGTAGTTATGAAAATTTATGCCTTGCATAAGGTGTTGGGAAATCACTCACAAAGCCACTATTTGTTGCACATCCTTAAACTTGAGTAGTTTGCTGGGCCAGCCACAAGTCAGAGAGTAATGTGACAGACCAGGCAAGTGCGAAGGGTCAGGAATAGCGATAATGGCACGGAGTCAGAAATCCAGAATCCCAGGTCAACATTCTGCCGCTTTAGGTTTGAATCCCACTACGGCAGACGGTGAAGTTGAATTCAATAAAAAGCTATCCTAATGATATCCCTGAAGGGTCTCGAACCGAAACGCCAGCTTTCCGGCTCCTCTAACGCTACCTGGCCTGCTGTGTTCACCCAGCTCCACACTGTGGTATCTCATAGTCCAGCATTAGCAGTTCTTACTATCCTAATGATGACCAAGTAATCATTATTGAATGGTGTAAAAACCCATCTGCCTCAACTAAGGAAGTTCAGGGAAGGAACCCTGCTATGGTCAGACTGGGGGAGGACAACAATGTGGTAGACTCTTAGCCGAGCCCGTGACACCCACATCCCATGGATTTCAGAAGAAAAAGGACAGTTTTTAAATAACAATTATCAGTTACCATCAAGGCTAGTAATGTATACTAGGTACATTAAGTGAATTAATTGAATTTAAATTTCACAATAATGGGATTTGTACTCTCTTGAGCATTAGTCGAGTGATATCTTCATAAACCTGGCTTTCTTAATAAATTCTGTTTTACTAACTTGAAGTCAGTGCAGTTTTTTTTTGTATTTTCACTCATGGCACTCCAATTTAGCACATAAATCCCTCTTTAGATAAGTAGCCACAAATCAAAGTGTGTTTGGAAAAAAATCAGTACAGCACCTAAACATTACTGCTATACAGAAGACTGACTCCCAATTAGAGACTATTGGAAACAAGAAAAAATGCTGGAGATCACAGCAGATCAGGCATCGTCCAAGGACAGAGTGCAAGCTAACATTGAGTTTAAACTTCATCAGAGCAGAGACTATTTGGGTTTATTTGATTAAAACATATAAACATGGCAACCAACAGAGAATGCTGGGAAAACTCAACACATCTGGCAGCATCTGCAGAGAGCAATTGAGTTAATGATTCAAGTGCAGTAGGACTTTTCTTCTGAATTGGATGCTGCCAGATCTGCTGCGTTGGCCCAGCATGGTTTCAGATTTCCAGAATCTGTAGTCTTTTGCTTTTAAACATAAACATGCACCTGTATCTGGTACAGAAACCAAACAGCTCTGTAATCTTCAGTGAACATTATATGAGAGCTGAGAAGTGGAAATGGTCTTCTGCAAGGCAGCATTAATTTTAAAGGTGTCAAGATATTTGATATCTGTACAAATTCACATTCATGATATCTCTGATAACGTATTAGAAAAGGTTCTGACAGTGCCAAGGATAACTTTGAAATTCTTATAGAATAAAGAACACACTCAGACTCTTTTCATTGACAAAAATATAAACTGGACCTTTGAAATTATTAAGATTGAATAAAATGAAACACGAGATCCCCCAAATCTTACCACGTTATACAACATATGCAGCAAAACAGTTAATTGTGGCAATTCATAGATATTCATACTACTATTAACTGGAATCTACATTTGGAAGTGTAATTATAATCACTTTCATCCATGCTTAATGATAAAAACCAAATGGTGAACATAGTTGCTTCTGACCAGTTGGGGGCATAAAAATGTAAGTTCACGGAAAATGAGTAATGAAAGTGGACAGATACTGTAGTGGAATTTGGAATAAATGGGTTGAGCAGAGTCTACAATTAACCAGATTATCTAAAGTCTGCACTTTGGGGTTATTTGCTGGCTCTTGCTGGCATTAATAATGTTCAAAATGGGGAGTCAATTTTTTTTTTTTAAAAACAGGATTTATTAGTGTAGAAAGGCTTGAATAACTGGTTACTTGAAACTGTAATGGTTTTCAACCTATACAGATAGAAAAACACAAACATACGATTTAGGAGCATTCATTTGATCCCTCATGGCTGCTCCATTTATATTAGTAGCTGATCTGATTGTATGCTCAATTCCATATTCTTGCTTACCCTGGTAGCCTTTCAATCCCTTACTTATGATTTTAATCAATTAAGGAAAAAAGAGCATTAAAAAGTTCAATGAACATCTCCAAAAATGTAAAAACAAATGGATTTGCTTAAGTAGATTAGTAAATTTATCTTGTACCTTTCACAACACGAGTAGAGGATAGCATTGGGTAAGACACCAGGAAGAATTTCTTCTAATATTACCACAATTCTTTTTTAAAAGTCTACATGGAAATACAAGTAGAACCTGTTTACTGCCTCATTGGAAAGCTTGCACCTCAATCATAGGAGGACTTCCTTGGGGAGTGGGTGGGGAGCCCACAAGCCTCTGACTCAGGCAAGATCAAAATCAGTGGACCTCAATTCAACTTTGAGGTGCAATTACTCATCCACTCTATATAGATGTGATATTTATAAATTATTCCACAAATTAGAGTATTAAAGACAAAGGTTTTGAAATGACTTCAATCTTGGAAATGTTCCTTCTTTCAAATCAAAGGTTTTTTTGGGTGAGAATTCAATCGAATTACAGCATCAATCTGTATAAGAATAATGAGAGATTCTCCTACAGGAATAATTGCAGGTAACATGAATCATAAGTAGATTATTAAAGGGCATTTCATATTGACTGATCCAGGACTTGCAAGCACCCAAGTACAGCAAATGGCCAAACTATAATGTGCTATCAATATTCATTATAAAGTTGAGTGGAAAAGAAATAAAGCTTCAATCATGGTTTTTGAAAAATGTGTTTTGCAACATTGTTTCAATCAATAGCTGCAACTTACGGTTTTAAAAGATAAAGTAGTTAAATGAACTTTGATGCATTTTACTTTACTCCTTTTGGACTTTGGTATTCTTAGATCGGTTCTGATGCATGCAAAACAAAATGCATCCACATCATGTCTCTTATCAGTAATGAAATGACCTCCATTTCTGTCCATAAGTAAACAGCACCAGCTGTAGATTCTTTATGGGGACCAGCAAGAAAACCCCTAGACAGGGAGAATAATCTTGCCTAAATGCAACTGTTTTTATTCCCATTTCAAGCCAAATCTTTCAAGAAAGCACTTCATTAATGTCAAGTATCCAAGATTTCTAAGAATGTACGAAGCCTGGCTGCAGTAATTCCTAGACTTGTACTGTACTGAATCACTGGCACTTGATTCTTATGCTCAGGAATTTTATATCAAAATGTTTTCTCTGGCTGGTCACCTGTGTCTCTGTGCAGATGTAAACACACACAACTAATAAATTAACTTTAATTCAGTTAGACTAATGGATGCACAACAGATTATTCAGATAGGGTGCAGGAAAAGGACCACTCTTGTTAAATGGATCCCTGATTTAGGTTAAAAATAGTGTCCCCCAAGGGCAGAATCCCTGCAGTCCATTTTGGGGATATAGGAAGTATTATCTGTGCATTTCTTAGTAGTTTGCTTTGGAGTTTGTCACTGAAACCCATAAGCATGCATCTGATAGCTAACTAACAGAAAGAACTATTGATCAAGTGTGTAATCTTCAACCACTCTACCCTTCAAATAACCCTAATCACCTTCAAAATAGTGATTAATTTGTCACTAGAGATTCAAATTGTAACAATGTTATAATTCCTGTGGAGATCATTAAGCTAAACACTTCCAAAAAGAAATTACAAGCTACGTTTCATATTTTAGATATTAAAAAAACAAATGCAAATTATATTCAAAATTGATAAATCTCTCAAAATAATCAATTCTACAAAAATACATCTTAAACAACCAGACACATCCCCATCACTCCCCAGTCACTTGCCACCACATGCAGTTTCAGTTTTTTAAACTCAGCTTCCAGTCCACAGGATCTTTCATTTTGCCACTCAACTGATTTGTCCCTCAAGTTCCCTTTGCCAGCAAAAATACTACACCACAAGTTGCTGGCAACAACGTCCAACTGGCACACCCCTGAAGAATATACTCAACTCCACAATTTTTGATGGCAGTTTCCTTTAATAAACCTCATTAAGTGGTCTGGTACATGAAAACCATTGAATTGTCCAATTCACACTCGGTCCTTTTCATTGTATTACACAATCAGCTCCTTGTAAACATGCCTTCTTGGTTCACCATTCTGTTGCAGTTCTCTTGGATTTTTACGGCAGTAACTTGTCAGCTATCATTTACATTTATTTTGTACCTACAAGTGGACTCTTGCAGCTCTATCTTGCCGCAGCCACATGGTTGTCGTATCTTAACAATTGGTACTTCTTCCAGGTCAAGGGTTGCAAGGGTCATGGGCTAGTATTTATCAAAGAAAATAATAAATCTCTGTACAATTTAAAAATGCTGAAACCTTTTTTTAAGTCATGAAACATCCAAAGGCTGCGGGGGGGGGGGGGGGGGGGGGGGGGGGGGGGGGGGGGGGGG